TGTTTCCAATTACTTCCAGAGGATTCCTTTTTGTAAACTGGACGTAAGCAAACTAATTAGGGACTTTTATTCATCAGGCAGTCTAGAAACACCACCAAACTATCGTGAAATATCCATGGCCTTTCCAAGCTGGACATAAGGAAGAATTTCTTTACTGTCCGAGCCCCCAAGGTTTGGAATAGATTGCTGCCGGAGGGGGTTCAAACACCTACTCTGAACACCTTCAAAAGACATTTGGATGTTTATCTTACTGGGACCCTATGATCCCTGCCGATTTCCTACCCCTGGGGCAGGGGGCTGGACTCGAGGATCTTCTGAGGTCCCTTCTAGCCCTAATGTCTATGAAATCTATGAAATGTACTGAATTTGATTTTACTCCATCTTCACGAGCCATCTGCCTCCATTAAGCAACCCATTTATTTAATTCTTCAACTGCTTAAAGTAAATGTTACCATAATTTCAATTATTCTAGTAGTCCTTTCTCTGGTATTTAATGGCCACACTTTCTTTGGGAAGGCGGGATGCTGGCCAAAGACACAATAAAGTCGTATCTTCTCCCCTTTGACCCCTCTTGAATTGACTTGTTCTTCAATACAGGCTGCCATTGGTTATGCTGAGTAACAACACAGACCTCAAAGGGATCCTGAAATTGTGAGTTCTTTTAAAATTTCTCCTATTCCTTCTCAGTTTAAGGGAAGTAAAATTCTCTTTAGTGGTTTTTGTCATTCGTGGATACTTGAATGCCAAACAGGACTTGTGTTATCAAACTTGAAATGTAATGCTTGCTTCACACACTAGCAGGACTACTTCTTGCTTTGGAAGAAAGTACAAGTTCATTTTACTGTTTCAAGTTTATTTCAAACTGTGTTTTCATTCAGTCTTTTCTGAGACTTGCCAACTTAACCTTCTCCATTTGTGCTTAAAATCCCATCAGCTTCATGGTGAATTACATCACTGTTATGCTGCCAACTTGGGGATGCCCAAGTTTTTAGGCAAATACCCCTTTCCAAGGCTGAAAAGATTAACTGATTCTTGGTTCCTATCTTCTCTGTGCACTGTAAGTACAGCTCTTTAACGGAATAAAAAAGGCACACCCTTTGCTCTAGATGAAGCCTCAGGTACCCTGCAGCCAATCAACGTGGCCATTAATGTGTCATAAAAATGCTCCATTTATTCTTGTCACACATCACTCCTGTTTCAGTTAAAAACTTTCTGGGTTAGTATGTGACTTCAGAATGTCTCAACTACATCAGTGTGAACAGAGGAAAATATAACAATAGCAAAAATGTAAATATAATATGAAAACCTTGAGAGTTATATCAAAAAGTGTGAAAATGCCTCTTCACTAGAAAGATGGAAGTGCAGTACTCTGGCAATCTACTTTTTTGTTTTAGCTCAAAATAGTGCATAGTCATTTTGATTTAAATGTTAATATTTAATATGCATCAAAGAAGAGTGCTACTGGAACTTCCATGGCTTACTCAAATGGTATGTCAGAGATATGAGTTGACAAAACATCTACTTTATTGGTATACTGAACTTTATTCTGCTAGCCAGACTTGTACTGAGAAGCACCTCGTTTCTCAAACGGTCCTGCAGAAATCAGTGGGACAACAGACTTGACACAGTGATGACTCGACTGTTTGATGTACACAGCAATGCTCCCATTAATGGAAAACCATAACTCATTTATGAAGTAAGATAGCCCAGCTCTGTAAGGGATTTATTAATATTTTGGGGCCCAACTGTTATGTCTTGCCTCAATTTTAACTAAAGTTAAAATTTTGGAAACCAAGTAAGTGGCTTATGAGTTCAAGTGCCATTTTCAAAAGCAACAGGCGCTTAGGAGCCCAGTCATATTGAAAGTCCTAGTAAGTCCTATTTTTAAAAAAGTGCCTTAAAGATAGGAGATGAACCCATATTTCAAAGGCACTGAGGCACTTAAGAGGCAAAGCGGCACAGACTGGGACCTTTAAAAGAACCTAACTGTTCAAAAGTGCCAAATATTTAAATCAAGGTACTTTCAGCACCTAATTTACTTAAGCTGAAAATTTCACTAGGTGCCTACCTGCACTTAGTCACCTAAGTACATTTGAAATCTAGGCAGTTAGACTGCTACAATACTTGCAGCACGTCTGCATCAAAGGACTGTACCAGGAAACACTGCAGTGAAGCATGCCACACCTACCCTGTACATATTATACCTTAGGTGTTAGGTATAATGCAGTCACCTTTGAGCAATGCTATCTAGGTGCATACTAAGATGCCTTTCCAAGAAATTTTATTGGAACACACCCAAGCACCTCACTGAGGTAACAATATTAAATCCATTTTAGGGTGTAGCATGCATGCACAAGTGTGATTTGCTTCATTACAGCTCTCAACCCTATGTATCCTAGGTTTTAAAGGGTGGCTGAGCAAGTGTGGCTCTTGATGCAGAATATGATCTATTGATCATAGGGAGAGTTCTCATGTCATAGGCCTGAGTAAAACCTGAGTAATGAGCAGAATATGTATTCTTTCCATTTTAAAAAAAATATTTCCCAAAATATATCTACCCTTGGAATAGCCTACTATTGGGAAGTGAAATTCAGCCCTTCAAGAGCCAGCATGTTGCCCTTACACCACTTCAGGCCTATGTATGCACTCAAAATAGGACATTAGTAATACAGAGTCATTTTCTAATTCTCTATAACAAGTGAATCTCAGTCACAGAGAATAGAAACTTGAAATGCCATCAATAGCACAATAGAATCCCTTATTTCTTCTAAAAGCCCTGCAACTCAGAGCCCTACTGCCTGGATACAGCACCTGGAAAAATCTAAAACACAGGTAGTAGATATCTAAGACATGTGGTGATAGGTGCTCTACACATTGAATTAAAACTCATAGCGTGATACCAGATTCCTATTAGTATTAGAGCAAATGAAGGTAAATTTATCTGACCACCTGAACATAATCATGATTGCTATTTTCTTGACCTAGGCAGATTCTGATTCCAGAAAACAAAATTCAGAGTACATATAATCTAGGTTCCATTTTGAGGGCATTTATATAAACAGTGTGAGCTTTTTAGTCAGTCCCTACTCTCTGCGTGCTGCAGAAGAAATGCAAAACGTGACTACTGACAAATGAGCCATATTCAATTACCAGTAACAAGACTCAACAGCAAATGGGGTATCATTATGAGAAGATGGAGAAAAGAAGGATTTCTGCATGCAGTGGTTACATGGCCAGTAAGTACACGTCTTTCCAAAATGAGGACCACAAAACACTACAAAAATATTTAGTGATTACAACAGATAAGACAAATGACAGCTGTTTGAAAATTGGCATCATAACCTATATTTCTTGTTTTTTAAGCCATTAAAATTGAAGCCTGGGCTCCTCTCATCAAAGTAGATCATTTTTTCATTACTGGATTGATTCTTTAAGTGGTATTTGTTTTCTCCAGCATTTAATAAATAAATTGTGTTGTAGATACTAGATCTTCATATCAACATTTAAAAATTCAATTTGTTCATTACCTGAAAACTGAACACTGGAGATGCAACTTCTCACTGAAAGCTCTTCCCTTTTTCTTGGACCAAGATCATTACATAAATCAGGTAACCAACTACTTGTTTGTTATCTATTAAAAAAATAAAACAAAACAAACAAAAGCCCAGAACAAAAAACCCCCATAAAACAAAACTAAACTAAACTGAATTCAGTACAAATTATTTCTTAATTAAACACATGCCTGGGACATTTCCTGGTCATTTCTTGCTGGAAACGTATTTCCAAATACACTGGGTGAAATTTATAAATGGTTTGCCACCTACTGAAGTTGTACTCTGCCAGTAGCCATGTGGAGTGCAACAGGATTACTTGGTTGGTGACTAGATAAAATTGATGTTTTACTGACTGAATGCTGCAGTAATCTATTGTCAAGTTAATCAGTTCCATCTCGTTCTGATTTCACTAGAATTGCCCCTATTATACAGCTTAGATAAAATAACGGTCATTGTTCTTGTTCCAAGCCTGACAGACAGAAAGACCTGAGTTTGTCACACTGCGTCCACAAAATAGGTTTGTATAATAGTATATTAATCTGTGCCATCAGCTGCACTACAACACTAGCAATAAAGGTGAGCTCAATGAATCCCGAAATGGCGCTGAGAGTGTTCAGCAGCAACCAAAACTAACAGACAATGAAGGAAATATCCTTAAATTCTCCTATAGCTCTATTTTAAGCAATATTTTGCATAGGCCTAAACCTGTACTTTCACTTATACGAGTACCCCATACTAATGCAAGGAATTCTTTTGGCTTCAATAGGATTATTTATATGAATAAAAGGCTAACAGGATTTGGCCTCCTATTTAGGATGTCTCCCCCTTATTAAAGCAAGTGTACTCTTACTAATATCTTTGAGCTATGGTTTATTTCTCTAAATCAGGATATTTCTTACTTTTGTTTTAATTTCAAATATTAATTCCATCTCCAACTGGCATCCGCTGCAAAGCACATGGGGCCATGACATTCTGCAATATCATAGGGAGTTCGATTTTTGTTTCAGAAAATGGGAGAAGTTTCTGTTTTATCTTATTTATAAAAACAAACTATGGGACTGTCTGAATAGGAACACAAGCTTGAAGTGTTGCAGATCTACCAGTGCCCTGGAGAAATCTTTGAAAGACATCCAATGTTGCTTGGAATACATTTTGATTTTTTTAAATTTTACTTATCTCATTTTTCTCTCTCTCTCTTTTCTAAGTAAGTACAGTCACTAATTTTTTTTGGAGGAGGGAATTAATCAGATCCTTTTGTTGCTGACACCATCCAAAGTCATGCTGTCAAACAGTGGAGTATGTCTTCCACTTCCAGAAGGGTATAGAGAAGAAAGGATAAGAAGAAAAGGAAACTGTAAGAAACAAAGACTCTGTTTTCATGCAAAGGTCCATTTGAAATGATGAATGAGGTGGAGAAAAATACAGAAGTGATGACACATACACAAATTGGTTTAGAACAGAATGTTTTCTGTCATTTTCCAAGAGGTACCAATGAATCATGAAATCCTGTGAAGGGCATAATTACAAGGAGGTGAGGGCTAGATATATCAGAAACTTGAGTTGATACAGGAGGGGCTGCTCCTGCAAGCTTTTACTTTTGCAAGCAATTTTTTACTCATATAAGTAGCCTTGCTGAATCCCATTTGTTAGACAAGGACGGCAAGATCACATTCTAACAGAAATACATCATCAGTCCACTCTCCTGTGAGATACTAAACTCAGAGTCTTTTGTAGGACCATAAATCTTTAGCTTGCATGATAATAACTGATGCTACACAGTCAACAGTAAACATTAATATGTCAATTCCTTGATACTGTAGACCAGTGATTTCCCATAGGGCTCTATACAAACCACTCAAGACCTCATTTGTTGGGCATGGAAATGGCTACTCTTTATAAAAAATGGTGTTTTTAAAAAATTACCTTTACAAAAACATTTCCCCCTCCCCCTTTTTTTTTTCTTAAAGATTTCATTATCTACAGGAACCCATAAAAATTTCTCCATATTTACATCTAGATAACTAATCACTGACAAATATAATATTGTGAAATAAAATAATGAAAGTGAATATCAACCTTTTAAATAGACGTTTGGCTCACAGCATAAACAACAGAGAAACAGACAAAAAAGAATGATCTGTTTTTCTACAGGCCCAATTTTTTTCTTAAAAATAATAATAATAATAATAATTATAATTATAATAAAGAGCAAAACAGTACATTGGTGGGATCAAGCAGCTTTGCTGCCAGACCACATTCTCTGAAGCTGGTGCGAGTGGTTGCTGAGGCATAAGTATCTGGCTAATGTGGACAAGCAGCTGTCCCTTATGCCCACCTTTCTGGTAAAGCACTAATTGCCTTTTGATCTCAAGCAGCCGCATGGTCCCACAGCTCTCCTCTGGCTGCATTTAATAAATGATAATTTAAGCTTCAATTTTAAAATGTGTTTGGCCACTGACATGGGGAAATGTAAGGCTGGGGGGAAGAATGATAGTGTTCAACTGATTTCCATGCTTTCTGTCTTGCACACGCTCAGTGCCCTCTGAAACCATAAACTCATTCAAAGGTGTGCAGAGGGCCAGCTTCTGTGAAGATCAGTAACAATGCGCGCCACCACAAACCTCCTTTAACTCTTCTGAGAGAACAGATCTCATGGCACATTCCTGTTGCCAGAGGCTTGACAAAAGGTGGTTCCAGGTGGTTGGGAGCTCAGTGCCACTAAGTGATACCACCTCAGCTGCCTGAGTGGGTTGGCTCCTGCTGAAAGGCAGCAGTGCCTGCAGCCAGAATGTGAAAGGAGACTTCAGGAGCTACTGCAAAACCAGAGCACCTTACAAAGGGCTCCACTTTCCAATTGGCACAAATTTCCTAAACCTGGGGCCTTCTGTTTGTTCACATGTCTTGAGCCATGTGCTATACTAGTCTAATAAGAACTCACACCACATTATAATATATTACATCCACCCAAACACACACACATGCCCCCACACACATATATGTTGGCAGGATGTATCAGCATTCTGATAAAGCTTTGGAACTTTTAGCCTTCAGCAGTAAGAGCAAAAGCTACTTAACAGGTACCTTACAGTTAACTGCAAATGTGCTTTAGAAGCAGCATTTCTGCTGACAACTTCCTTCTGTAATATCACAGTGACCATAATATATCATTAAATGTATTTTGCTGAAGTGCACAGCCAATAATTCTGGCTATGTATATAATTCCATCCCCCCACAACCCCTTTAAGAATGTCTGTAAAAGCCGGTGTTGCAGTGTGAAAGCTTCCTTGAGCAGAGGAGTTTAAACAATGTACCTCACCATAAAAAGGAAATAGAAACAAATTAAACAGTTGTAGGCGCATTATCCCATACTTCTACAGTGTTGTGTCTAAACGTTGTGCTGGCTTGGAAAAGGAGTCTGTGCACAAGTCCTTTAGTCTAAAATACTGCTGAAAATATTGTCATTGTTTCAGTTCAATAGTTGTATTCTCTTCTTCCTCCTCTTTGGGTTTCCCTTTCTCCTCCTCTTCTTCCCTGATGGACTGAATTTGTTCTGAGGATTGGTGCAGTGTAGATTGGTCTACACCTTGCTTTTCTCTCCCTGCTAACCTTTCTTCATCTTCAATTACTTTCTTCCACATTTTATGGTTGTGAAGCAGGTGCTGAGTGATCTGGCAGTAGATTTTCCTCCTCTTGAATTTCTTCTTTCCTGTAAAATATAAGATGAATTGATTTTCTTGTGACAAGGGGATGAATGTGGGGTGAGGAAGAACAAAAGACTGCACGCCATTTTCTATTTGCACACTCTCGAAAATAAAGTTCTTTTAAAAAGCCCTGCCTACAACTCCAAAGAAAACAAACAGATCTCCACACATCTCAAGTCCCAGCTGTGCGTCCAACAAAGCATATGTTGACTGGGACGCTATATAGCTCAGAGACACCTAGCACTTAATGGTATGCAACACTGACAGCAGAGAGCACTTTCCTTAAGGCTGGCAACCTTTTTCAAGACATGGGTTGGGACAACCTGACTCCAGTCTGGCTTGGGCTGTGTGGCTTCAGCAGCCCATCAGTGGCAGGGGGGCTTTCCCAGTGCCTCTGCCTCATTGCTCTTTGCAGCCCCGTTCCCCAGCTGCAGTGCAAGAACAGCTTCTGGCCAAAGGTGAACTACACTGGGGCTGAATAGCTGGCAGCTTCTTCCACAGCACTACAACTTCACCTCCTCACCCTTGACCACTCTCCTGCCACTATCTCTGCGCTGGTTCAACTCCCCTCCAACTCGACACTGTAAGTCATGTCACAACCTTGGGATGGGGAAAGAAGGAAAGGATTGGAGTGAAGTGGCACTGGCACAGCTTCCAAATCCCTGGCCCTGGTGCAGCCCGTTGCTGTTCAGCCCCAGTGAGGGCACAGGCAAAGCTCTGAGATTCCATGGACTGGATCCAGTAGCTTTCTAGGCCAGATGTGGCCTGTGGGCTGTATATTGCCAACCTCTTCCCTAACACATTCAAGCATGCCTTTTTGATGCCAAATGTTGCCAGGTTCAGACTCACCCACTTCAAACTCTTCCTGGATATGTGACTTGCTACTCCACAAAATCCTCTTATTTTTATGGTTTATGTCTGCTCTGAAGAGAGTAGTGGAATAGTAGCAAGAGATAAGATCTCTCCATGGGTAAACACAGCAGCATTTGTTTGTTATGCCTATGGACTTACCAAATTCACAGTGCGAGTGGGGTGTGTGGCAGCTTTTTTAATCTTGCGGGTTCCCCTGTACACCCCGCCACTGTTCATTGGTGGTGGGGCCCTGCTGCTCACTCCTGATTGGTGGGGAGGCAAAAAACAGAGTTTTAAATATAGTGCCATTTTTGCCACTCGCTGCTGATTAGCCGAGGGGCCCTGGCAGCCATGCTGTGTGTGACTGACTGGTCAGGAAGCAAAAGCAGCACCATATTTAAAACCACAGTTTTCACCCCCCTGCTGATCAGGAGTGAGCAGTGGGGTGTGCGGAGGCTCCTTTTATTTTTCAGGTTTCCCTGCATGTCTAGGTATATAACATCTACCTTTTCTCCCATGTCCAGGTGGTGAGAGACCTGGTTGTAGGAGATGAGATTGGTAAGACAAGACCTACCAGCAACAAAGCCATGCTGACTGTTGTTCAGAGTCTTACCTGCCATGAGCATATTGCACACAGATACTTTAATGAGCTTTTCCAGGATTTTCCCTGGGATAGAGGTTAGGCTGATTGGCCTATAGTTGCTCAGGTCCTCCCTCTTCCCCTTCTTGAAGTTGGGCACAATGTTGGCCCTCTTCCAATGCTCAGGGATTTCCCCTGTACATCACAAATTCTGAAAGAGCTCTGCCAGGGGTTCCATAATGACCTCAGCCAGCTCCTTCTGCACTCTCGGATAGAGTCCATCTGTTCCTGCTGTCTTATAAACCTCTAGCTTTTCTAGCTGGAATTGCACCCACTCAGCATCCACAGTAGGAAGGATGCCATTCCTGGCATGCCCCCTGTCACAGGGCACCAAAGTGCCTGCTCCCAGAAGAGCAGAAACTGCCTGGGGAGAGCTGGAAGAGACGGACAGAAGCCCAGGTGCAGGTTATCAGGGCAACAGGCTACAGAGCAAATTAGCCTGGACCTGTCAGCTGCCTGGAAAGGGCAGGGCCCTGGGCCCTTATAAATCCTCAGGCCAGAACTAGGGAGGGCAGTTTGCTGCCAGCTGCCAAGTAGGAAGGAGCCCTCCTAGAGGGAGCTAGAGGAAGAGGCCTGAGGGCGAGTCAAGCTTCTGGGTATGCCTGGGGCAAACTTTGATTCCTTTAAAGGGGTGGAGAATGATGGGAGCTTATGTGTTATGTTCTAGCCCAGGGGCTTATGTTTTGTTTGCCATTCATAACAACCGGTGGTTTGGGTGAGGCTATTTGGGGAAGGAGGAGGCCTCATTGGGGGCCCACTGCAGCATGGGCACCCCGGCGCCAGAGAGGGTGTGGCACAAAGGGTGCAGAGACAGGTCTCTGGACAGCCTAGCTCTGAGGTGTGCAGAGACAGAGACAGGGCTGCGGAGAGGCCAGCACTGAGGGGCACAGAGATGGAGACAGGGCTGCGAAGAGCCCAGTGCTGAGGGATGCAGAGACAGAGACAGGGCTGCGGAGAGCCCAGTGACAACCTGAGGCTGAGTAAAAACAAGGCCTCAGAGGGACGTTGTGCGAATACCATCTGCGAGGCTTGGGGCGTGGTAAAGGGATGGTTTGGAGCTATGCATACAGCCATAAGGCCGGGGTGCCCTGAAACATCTACTTTGAAACAGGATCCACAAGGGGCCTGGGGACCAACGGGGTTCAGGGAAGTCCATCAGGACTGTGTCCAACCGGATGTGAAGGCAGCCTCCCTATATTACATTTTCATCAAGACATGGCAGGCAAGAAAAGAAGGTGCCCATCGGGCCAAACTGGAACGATCGAGGGGCCCTAGGGTAACATGGCCATCCTTGTTACACAGCTCTTCAGGCCATACTGTGCTGACTTCTGGGGGCCTTGACATCCATGCCATCATCTCCTTCTGCATCCTCTGCAGTGCCTCTTCCCGCTCCCGCTCTTCTGAGCCTTGTTTGCAATGACACCCGCTATAAGCCTTATGTCGCTTGTCTTTCCCCTTGGTCCAGTGAAATACCGAAGAAAAGTGGGCATTCAAGACAGTTCAGTTTTTTCCTGAATGCTGGTTACCAGCTGTCCGAAGGTGTTGAGCAGGGGTCCCACACATCCATTTGTTTTCCTTGTACTGCCTACATACCTAAAGAAGGACTTCTTATTGCCCTCAACTCCCGTGGCTAACCTAAACTCGGTCGCCGCCTTGGCTTTTCTGATTAAAATTAAAGGAGCTGCCATGCACTCCACTCCTGCCGTGAATTTGGAAGGTCCCTACTTATGTCCCTTCCCTACCAAATGCCAAGGACACAGTAGGCCATTATCAAAATGTGGCTGAGTTTAACAGATTACAAATAGTATGAGTGAAAAATCCAGATGTAGGTTTTATCTACATGCAGTATACTGTACAGCTGTTGTTATGACATTTGAATTCTAAAACTGATGGACTATCTGGATGCTTAATATAATGAAATATAGCCAATAACATCATAGCCTTGGAATTTTGTTCCTCCTGGGTTCTAAACACCAATCTACTAGTACTTTTTACTTTTCATTGTACCCCACATAAAGTTGCTTGTGCCAGGAGCATTTTGCTGACCCAACGTAGCTGTCTGTTAATGTAGAGACTGTCCTATATGCTGAGGGCAATAGAATTTGGATAGTTAAAATTCCTATTGCAACAAATTCTGAAGGTTTTCCCTAATCCTTAATAGTGGCAATGGTAGTTGTAGCACTTAAAAAAATAAACCTCTCCAATAATTCTTCTGAAAACAAAGTGACAAAGAGGAATGTTTTGTGCCAAATAAATTTGCGTAGATTAGGTTTTGCAGGTGGCCTAAAGTATGTCTATGTTTGGATCCAAACTGTTTAGTCCCTGAAGCTTTTGAACAGGAAACAAAGAGCTTTTCACTGCACCACAGTCCAAATCCAGCTCAATCCTTCATTAGAAAGCTCTTGGTTCCCTGTAGGAAACTTCAGTTTTAATACTAATAAGAAACCTCTATTCCTCCAACACACCATATTAGAACATTCTATCCTAGGTTTCCTAGGTGACTCAAAATCTTGCAGCTCTCAGCAGAGATCAGAAAGAATTTGTTGTGGCTTGAGATTTTGTTTTAACCAAGAAAGACTGAACCAGTTTAACTCTAATATTCGCAGCAGGACTTTCTGGAAGTCAGACGTAACAAAAAAATTGCTTGTTTATATGCTACAGCAATGGTTTTCAGGTCAAACAATACTGTAGTTAGTCTTTAATGAGTCTGTTTATCTAAAATATTCCAGTTAATTGTTTGACTGTAATTACAAGCTTTCTGCAAGCTTTCTTTTCTCCTCCTATTTTTAAAAAGATACTTTATTTACAAAAAAGTTTTCATTACCTTCCAGAGAACTCTGTATATCTGATGCATGTGGGCAAATTAGATGCTTAACTCACACTGATAACAGGAGATATCTGAATCTTTTCAGTTTATGCTGAACTGAGATCTAACTGGAATTTGTAAACTTAAATGGTCCAGACAAGGGATGCTGATGACATATTTACACTATATCTGTGCTTTTCATTAAAGATGTGGGAGATCAAAATAAAACGTATATTAGTTAAAAAAAACAAGTCTCCAGACCCAGAGGTGAATGCCTCAAACAGCTTCAAGATTTTAAGTGTATGTGATCTCTTAGTCAAACATGAGAACCACCAAAATGCCAGTCCTGAAGTAGCAAATGTAGGATCCCTCTTTATTTTTAATGTCTGCTCCAGAGACCTCTACCCTAGGAAATAATATTGCAATGCAAGTAAAACTGATGGATAGCTAAAAACGGAATATAGACTTAGATACCAGGCCAAAACAGCATAGCTTCTGTGAAGAAAAACTGTACACCTTTAATTTACTAAGCTCCTCCAAGCATGTTAACAATATATCAAATAAAGTAAATCTGGCAGGAAGACTTTATTTGAACTTTCAAAGTTTTTGACACAGTTCTTTACAACAGGCTATACTTAGCCATGTGGTAAGAGACTAGCAACCAAGGCTATGGGCATATGAACAAGTTACAGCAAGGTAAATTAAGGTGTGAACTTGTAGTCATTCACTGCCTTGTCATAAATGCATAGTTTTGCCCTGCGGTAAATGTAAGGTAGCTTACCACATTTTCACATCCTAGCTTCCCTTGCTGGAAGCTGGTTGTGTGCCCATAACCTCAGCCTGAAAAAGAGAGTCAGAATTAAAGGCCCATTTTAAATGCGTCAAGAGACAACAGTGACCAATGGTCCTGTAACTTGGGCCAATTCTAAAATCTTTGTTAACAATGTGGGAAAAAAACTACAATTAATACAAAACACTTAAGGTTAATCAAAAATAAAGATGACATTAGGGAATGTTCAGGGGGAGCTGACAGTTCTACACAGTTTGGAAGAACAATGTAGATGAGCATAAGTTTGGTGCTCCTACTGACTTTTCCTTCTGGTGCACAAAGAACGTGGTGGTCAATGAAAGCAAAAAGACAACAAACACAGAACAAGATAAGAAATACCATTTTTCTTTAAAAAAAGCAAAAGAAATGAACAACTCCCCCCACTCCCAACACAATCAACTTCATAGACTTCATAGACATTAGGGGCTGGAAGGAACCTCATGAGATCATTGAGTCCACCCCCTCCCGCCATAGGCAGGAAGTCAGCTGGGATCAAGTGATCCCAGCAAGAAAAATATCCAAATGTTTTTTGAAAGAGTCCAGCTTGCACCATCCCTGAGAGGAGTCTGTTTCAGACCCTGGACACACGCACCGTAAAGAATTTTTTTCTTATGTCTTGTCTAAATTGGATTTCCTAGAGTTATGGCTGTTAGACCTTGTTATTCCTTGGGAAGCTCTGGTGAACAGGTATTCTCCCAGGTCCTGATGTACCCCTCTTATATAATTGTAGGCTGCTACCAAGTCCCCCCTGAGTCTTCTCTTTTCCAGACTGAAGAATACCAAATAGCTCAGCTTCTCCTCATACGGTCTGCCCTCCAGGCCTTGGATCATATGAGTGGCTCTCCTCTGGACTCTCTGAAGCTTTTCCACATCCCTCCTGAAGTGGGGGGCCTAAAACTGGACACAGTACTCCAGCTGCAGCCTTACCAAGGCCGAGTAAAGTTGGAGGATGACATCTCTGGTTTCGCTTGAGATGCATCAGTAGATGCATACCAGAGTTTGGTTTGCTTTGCCAGGCACAGCATCGCATTGGTGACTTATATTCATCTTGTGGTCAATCAAGACCCTGAAGTCTCTTTCGGTTGTGGTGCTAGCGAGCGTAGCACTGCCGAGCTTGTAAGTATGCGGAGGGTTCTTCCTACTGAGGTGCAGTACCGTACACTTCTCTCATTGAAGGAGATCAGGTTTTGAGGGTGTGTCCAAGTCGGCCTGTATCCCCAGCCTGTCCTGCGGTGTGACCTCCCTCCCCCATAATTTGGCATCATCTGCAAACTTTGCCAGTTCACATAGAATTCCTGACTCCAGACCATTAAAGAAGATGTTAAAGAGTGCAGGCCCAAATATTGAGCCCTGTGGGACTCCACTGGTCACCCTATGTCACATAGATTTGCTCCTGTCAACTAGTACTCTTTGGGTCCGAACCCATAGCCAGTTACCTAGCCAGACTGTAAGATGATCAAGGCCACAGTTCCCCAGCTTAGCCATGAGGACATCATTGACAACTTGAGTGGCTTGTCATGGATGTGAAGAAAGACCAGTAAGGATTCCAAAAGTGAGTTAGACATTTACATGAATGAGAATAGTCAGTCATCAGGGTTGGACACAGACATGGGCAAACCACATGGCCGCCCAGGGCCCAGGCAGAAAGGGGGCCCAAAAATGGCAATTTTAAAATTATCATCATCATTATCTCTGGCAAGGGGTGGGGGGAGAGGCGCAATACTGAAAGTTTGCCTGGGGCCGCCAGGAGTCTAGGTACAGTGCTGACAGTCATATTAATGTATTATATGTATGTGTAAGTAGTCACATGTGCATGCATGTACATACACACACTTAACTATATCTGATATTACAGTTGGAGAACAGACATGATTTTGAGCTCATAAACATTGCTTATCAGTTGTCCAGGGGGTGAAGAGACATGGAAATTCTCTGAGCTGTGTAACTTAAGTCAATTACTGAACCTAGAGTGTTTTAGCATATCAATGCACAATGCTAGCATCAATAAAGGAAGCTGCTTCCTTGTCCACTGCCAATAAAAATATTTTTGATCAATTATTTATAGATTGCAAAAATATATTGTAGTGGTGCCTAGAAGCTACAATAAAGGATTGGACCATACTGTGCTAATTATTTTACCACCGAATGGAAGTAGGTGACCTCTTCTCTGAAGATCTTCTCATTCTCGCATCTTTCACTGGTGAAATAATTACAATCCTTAATTACCAACAGTTAAAAAATACCAGATATAGGATTGAGAACCTGACAATAGACAACCAAAAAATCAAGATGCTAATAGGTAAATGAGCACCAATAAAGTGTTGGTCCTGAAGCTTTGGGAGTATCTCCACTCACAAAATGACTAGGTATCTGTTAAACTTCACATGGGACATCTTTGCTAGCTCAGTCTCAGAGAGGTTCAAGCTAAACACAGTCAGGTGCTTTTATTATCAGATTACTCAGCTTTTGGTTAAGAGGAACCTACTGTATGAAATCATCCCTACTGAAAATAGGAGAAGCAAAACACATACTGGATTCAGAGTTTTCACACATTTCCATTTCTCCTGTTTCTTCTTCTTCATTCTCATCGGTGTCTCCTGATTCATCACTATCTTCTACCCATTTCCCTGGCATCAGTCCTGCTGAGTCATAGGAATTACACAGTGGTCCCACGATGTGAGAAATGAAAGATTCCTGAAGGTTTGCCAACTGGGGAGCCGAGCGATCCATGAAAGGACTAATAGGAAGGCCAAGACTGGCCTCTTCATCACCCTGGAGATGAGGAAAAACTGATTATTTCTCTGTGATAAATTAAACACATATGTGGGTGAAAAAAGTAATGGGAGCTCAAATGCAACTGCAGATTATGACAAGGAAATAAATTAGCTATGAAATCTTTTTATTTTACTTTTTTTTATTTTACAGAAGAGCAGCCTGAGGGTAGCAGAACAGAATTTCACCTGCCTGTTAAACTGCTAAAACCAGTTATATAGCTGTTTTACGCAGGTAAACACAGAATTTAAAAGCATATCAGTAAAGAACTTTGTAACAGTGTCCACCTCTCTCTCCTATATTTATATTGTATCATGAAAACCTGAAAATGAAATTTCCTTCTTTCTTACAATGGGTTATTTTTGAAAATGTATCTATGAAATTTGTGGTTTTATAATCATTATTAACCCGTCTTCCTTACTGCTAGACGTTAAATTCTATGTGGATAGGACTGAATGTTTCAGAGTAATGCTTCAACTGCTGATCTAGGCTTTTTCTTTTTCAAGCTGTACTATCAATAAGATGGGCAATACATTTTATCAGTGAAAGTTGTGTGTGAATATAGACTTCAGGACTTATTCCTATAAAAAATTAACAAGTGATTATGAATATAACTTGTTATAGAACCTGACACAGCTATACAATTTAAGACAGTTTAAAGTATGACCTAACTGGAGATCCAGGATCAATTTACACATAGTTTACCTGAAGGCTGAATTTGTTTCACCAATAATCATGGAGAAGGTAACTGAATAATCGCTCTTTTGATACAAGGGGGACACAACAACCGTTCCCACATTTCTTTACAAAGCATACACAACACTCAACTATCAAGTGTCTGATGTCAAAGCTTCCCCCTTCTGATCATTAGCAGGAAACTGAAATTTCCTAAATTAACAAGTGAATTAACCAGACATGGCAGCTCTCTCCACCTTTCAACATCATATCCCAATTTCAAGGTAAGAAGTCAGGGAAATGGACTACTGAACCAATTAAATAGCTCTTTTTCAATTTTTAATTAAGAGCTTGGTTTATTGTTCCAGATATCACACAGTGCATTCTTTGCTTTTTGTTACTAAATGCACAAATCTAATTGGTCTGTCTCAAAGTTGGTCAAGCACACAGAGAAAAAAACTATTAAAGGTATTGCAACAATATTGAATGGGTTTTATGATTTTTAACAAGTCTCAGTTATTTAAATTCTTCAAAGCAAAATATGTTGTTTTTTTAATGTGAATGCACTCTCAGAATATTATTTTCATGGAATAGACTCTACTACATTGCAAGCTGTATGTTACTGTGTCCCACTCACAAGAGATTATCAAAGAGCCAGATCCTCAGCTATAGCTTTAACCCGTGTCCACAGCAAGGTCTGGAGGAAAAAAAGTCTGCTGTATAGCGGGTAGCTGTGGCAATTACTGCCATTCAAAGGATGAACTAGTAAGCAAAGTGCATAAAGCAATGAGACAGTGTGACTTTTCAGGCATAAACTGCATTGAACAAGCACCTCTTATAATTAATAAAATGTTTCCAAGCTATTTGACTTTGAAGTTATACTCAATTATAATCACTGTGCAGAGAGAATAAACTAATTTTTCACTTACGAGTTATGTCAAATAAGTTATGAGAACAGCATTAACAATCCTAATGTGTGCTCCTAAGGCTGGCAGTGAACTGGTCATACAAAGTCTTTGTTCTTCAGCTGTTTTGACTAGATTGCAAACAACACTTCTGTTGATCTCTTTTCAGCACTTGTAAAAAATCTTCATGACGTTGCTGCCTTTAGTGAACTAGAACACGTATGGTTCATGCCATCAGCTGTGATAGATCCAAGGTGAGTCGTATCATAATATTTGACTGGTGGCTTTCATAAGCATTCAGGGTCACCTCAACCTCGAGATGAGTTGTGATCATCACCAGGATTAATGACTATACCTCTTCAGGTGAGTTATACTCAGGTCAGCAAATAAAAAGAAAAACATTTCCTAGAAGAAAATTCAGGAGATGGTGGCTGAGCACACCTGTACAGTGTGATTTGCTTTTTAAAATGAAAAGCCCCATGTATCTATGGAGAACCTACTGTTCCCATGTGAAGGAAAGCTTGGCAAATGTTTCTCTTACTCCTCCATGACATGGGGCAGCAGCAGGAATAATCCCTCCTTTCTAACTGTAGTGGCTAGTACATTAAAACCAGAGACAATTAACATCCTCTGGACCTTAACGTATGACCTCAAAGGCATTGTTTTGCTTTCCCCAAAAGTTTAGCTTGCTAGTCCATGAAATACGCAGAACAACTTGATGGCATTGGCTGGTCTTAGGAAGCAGTGGGATAGGTTGGACGGTTGAATGGAAGCTATGCTTAATCTGCATTTTCCAATTCAAATGGGAAAAAAAACTGAGAGCCAGAACACCCTAGAACTCAAACCTTCAAGGAACATAAGCAGGTTGGCTTACTTTCAGTCTCCTGAAACTGCAAAGTGAACTTTGCAGGCTTCTTGCAATTCTATCAATATCATCCTGTCAAAAAAAAGCTGAAAATCTGTCACTGATTTGTTACTACCTCCTTGGCAAGAGTCATGAACCCAGCAATACAATTTAAGACTGGAAGCAAGGGTAGTAGTTCCTGCCCTGACACCCATTTACCTGTTCATAAAATTCATTAACAATGCCTTCTGTCCACTGCAGATGCAATTCTTTGCATTTAGCAGGCCCGTTGATGTCAGCCAGTTTGATGCACATTTGACAAACAAGCATGCGGTCATTCTCATTACTCCAGTCAATTCCAACATCATCGTTCACCTGGAAGATACATAACCAGGATGAAACCATTACAAAAGCACTGGGTAAAGGATGTGACTGTAGAGAAAATCCTGCCTTGAGATGGGCTTAAAATATGCTAAGCTACAGAATACAATCTTCAGAACAAATTTAGCCAGACAAAAAATGGTCTAGTTAATGTTTTCAGCTCCTTTCAAAAAGGTTTTGTCCTCTGTGAACATTTAGACTGTCCAACAAATTAGGAGAATGGGGGTGGAGGGAAGGGAAGGGAAGCCATCAGCTGTCATTACAAATCTATAATGTTAAACCAAGACACACTATCTATAGCAGCCTGTGCATCTGATTCCCTCTACTTGGAGATGGCAAATACCATAATCATTTTTTACATTTAGTCAGACAAAGCTTAACTTTCATCACCCACGGGTTACACACGTGCACCCCTTGTATTAATTCAGGAGTTTTCAACCTTTTTTGGTTAGTGTACACCCAGTGGCCAGTTGAGAAGCAGGGAGTCCCTTGGCCAGTCGACGAGCTGGTGGGGGGGATGGAGGGGAAGGCAGCAGCTGATCAAGTAGTGGCGGGGAGGAGGTTCCCTGCACACACAGCAGTGAAACCAGAAGTGCCCCTGCTTCTCTGTGCTGATGCTGCATAACCCCTGGGGCCTTCCTAAGTACTCCCAGGGGTACGCATACCCCTGGTTCACAACCCCTGTACTAATCAGTGATCCGTTTGCCTATTTCTAAAATTTCACATGGTTTATCTCTGGCTATGGAGTTGGGGGTGCCACAAGTTTTACTTCATCCATTTTTGGCTACACAACCTCAAATTCGAAAAACTTATGGTCTGGACAAATGACACATTTACATGAATGATAAACAGATATCTACTGCATGTTGCTACACTGCCCTAAGATAGATGTCTACTCCAGATGCCAGTGTAATTTCCAATGGTGTATAAATCCAATGCAGATTACACTCTTGTGAACACATTGTCTGTCCAAGCCCTTCTGCTAAAACTCTCAAATCCAGGAGTTTAAAGGTAGATACCAAAATATACCCAAAATCCTATAGTACCAGGACCAGTGGATTACAACAGAATTTAACCTGGGCCCAATCTGGATCTGATTTTTGGAGGGTTTGAGGAGGTACAGATCCATTTCATGAAGAAGTGACAGCGCACAGCCTCCCTAAAAATCAATCCATGACTTTAGCTGCATACCTGAGAACTTTGGCATTAGTTTTGAACACAGTAAAACTGTTTATTTTGGGGAATTAAAAGGCAGCAAGCAAGAGAATGGTTACAGAGAGAACTGCATTTTGGTAACTTACAGACTTTTTACATGCGATTCCTACTTTGACATATCTATAGACAGTGCAAACAACGCCTTTCATCTCAAAAAGGCATTTTTATTACTGTTGTTCTAATAATATTACTACTACTACTGCACTGTCTAAGACACACAGGGCATTTATAGATGTGCTCTGGGAGTGTGTGGTGGGGGGGGAAATAGATGCTTTAATCAGAATGGCTCAGAGAGCCACTCTAAAGTGCCCAAAGCAGAATGTGTATCAGTGTCCCTGCACTGAAAAATGGAGGCAGGGTTGCTTTAACTAAAGCTCATTGAACAAGCTTTAGTTAAAGCGCCCCCACACCATTTTTCAGTGCGGGGACATGGGTACACATGATGCTGGAGTCTGCTGGAGCATGGTAATTTCTGCACTCTGGCAGACTCAGTTAATTACCGTGCATTGGAGCAGCCTTGCTGCACGTGACTAGGTGCCCCTAGTCAGGGAGAAGGACCTCTTTGTGCTAGACTCTGTACAAACACAGAACAACAACAACAAGACAATCCCTGTCAAATGATGCACCTCATTATCTAGTTAAAATAGTTTATCACTGGTGAATTGCAGTTTCCCCTTGGTCATGGCAGCATCTCCCCAAACCACCATTTTTCCTCTGCCATAAGATAGTTCAACTCAGTGCCACAGCAAGGAGGAAAGGGAAAAAAAACACTTATGGGAGTGTACTGAGCACTAGTTCGGACACTGCCTATCACCTTCATTCCTTATGCAATCAGCAGAACACAGGCCTTGTTTTATCCCACGGTCTGAAACAGCAAATAGGATCTAAAAAATCATCTGTGCCACCACATTCAATAAGCAAATAACAAAAGTCCCAGACAAATATTTAGCAGAAATAACTTTTACAGCTCTAGAAGGAAAGGGGCAGGAAAAAAAGCAACGAAACCTTTCAAGACTTTCATTGACTACACACTGAAAATTTGCATAAGTCTTTTTACCTTGGCATTGAATTTTGCTACAAAATCAAAGTGTTTCTTCAGGTCAGTGGCCAAAATGGCCTCAATTACAAGAAACCGGAAATGCTTGAATTCCACATGGTCGAGATTGACTAAGAAGTTATACTCTGGCCTGGACATGAAAAGATTCCACGCAGCAGCTGCATGATGATTCTCCAAAACAGAGCGGTCATTATACAGCACAGCCTGCAGAAGCAAAACAGTGAATAATCTTAGCATATCAAGTATAAAAAGCAAGAAATAAGAATTACAATGTGGAATGAAACCAACTTCAACTGGCTAGAGAGAGTGTCAAATTTCCCCATTTCTGAAGAATTTGATGACGTCTCTTAAACTGTATTGTTACTAGTAATAGTAGTGACTATCTTTCGGGATTGAAAGACCCAAACTTTACACGCCAAAGGGTCTCTCATTCCTTTTTGACCAGTACCTTATGATGAGTTACTGTATTTTCTCACATACCATATGTCCCAAATAACACACCCACCACCTTGTTTTTGGGAAGGCAGATGATGGAAAAAGATTTTTTTCCAGAGCTTTGGCTCAAAAAGAAGGGGCACAGCTTACCCTCCTTTTCCTACGCAGGAAAGAGTTACAGTTTTAACCTGTTCATAGCTGAATTGTCAAGAACTCTTGGCTGATCAGCCAACAGCTGAACCTGTAGCTGGTGCTGACAGCTGAATTCTATGGGTGGATCTAGGACTGTGGAAAGAGCTAAAAAGTCTGCAGGACTGTGAAATAGCAGGAACAAGACCAGGAGTAGCTAGCAGACAGCAAAATTGCTGAACAAAGGATAGCTTGCTTAGTGGAGCATTGAAAAAAGAGAGAGCCATTGACACCTGTGGACTGAAGACGAATTACCTGGAATCAGGTAGTTTACAACGAGCCCTAAAGTCAACTGATTTCTGCAACACTACCCAAATAGAAAGGCTACAATTGCTGCCGGGCACTTGGTTTTATACTTTGGGTGGAGAAGGAATCAAAGCAGGGTGTGACTGTACCACCCTGAATCTGGGCTGGCCAGAGTTCACTTCTCTCTCCAGGTAGCTCCTGGAGGAAACAGGTTAAAAAAACCAGGAGCCATGTTACAGCATCTTATGGCCATTTTACACCTAAAAAAAATAAAAATCAGCTTCCATGCTTAAGACATGCGCCACAACTTTGGAAAGCAAATTTTTGGGGTAAGGGCGAGTGCAGTATACAGGAAACCATTGTAATCTCTGTGGCAGAATACCATCTCTGGCTCTCTCCAAACTCTGCTGTCTGACAATTTGGTTACCATGGTCACTGCAGAGGGCAGACTCCTCTGGTCCAATCTGCTTCAGGTAACCCTGAGTTGTAGCCTGATTTGGATACATTCCTGAGGGAGAGGGGAAACCTGCTCCCTCTGCCTATGTGACTGGCATCACATACCTGGGTGAGGGGCTTAAGCTCTGTATTGTTCTAAGCAAGGTCATCATGACTGGGAGGGGGCTAAAGACCCCACCAGTCTACCCTGCAACCAGCGATGCATTTCAAATTGGATGGCTGGCAGCCAGCAGTTGCTGGCCTTCATTGAACCAGGTAAATGAGGTCATAAGGGCTATATAAGTGAAGGACTGCCCAGGAGAAGGAGGGGCAGTAGCCATGATGAAAACTCACAGAGAAGCTGGTCTATCTGAAACTTGCTCTCTCTCTCGAAACTCGTGATCAAGGAACTGCCTGTCTCCAGAGAGAATCTCCACCTGCCTCTGGATGAGACTTGTGAGTAAGCTACTGAGATCTAACTAGATATATAGCTTGCAGTAACTCAGATGCGTGACTGATCAAAGGCTACCATGCCACTGTTCGCTCTAAGGTATTTCTCTGATATTGCTCTACACTGTACCCTATTCCACACCTACACCTCGTAACCAATAAAGTTCGCTTTTGTACCTAGTGTGGGAGACTTATTGAGAGAGGGTCTAGATTATGCCATGAAGTCCTCTTGGTTCAGCTGACTAAGGGAGACTGCTATTTGTGCTTCAGGCTGAGGGAAGCACCCCAAGTTCTTGCAGTAGGTCAAGTACCCTCAAGGACTATTAGGCCTGTGTTTCCAAGAGGGTGCAGGTCCCAGATCAGTCCACACTCTGGTGGTGGTGGCGTTACCCCCAGGCTTGTGGGTGTCCTTCAGGAAGGGGGTTGGCCAAATGTCAGGCACCCCCAGGGAGGCACTCAGAGCCTGGAAGATGGTTGGGCGCAATGAGGTGGGTGGTTCAATACAGGAGCATCCCCTACTGGCCTGCCACAATCTCTTTTTGTTAATTTTTTAATGGATAGAATTAAAAAGTATTTTACGTATTTATGTAGGAATTTCTACCGCTTTTCAGAGCTGGAGTCTTTAAGGGGTTTGTTTCTGAAAGCACTTATTGGTAGGTGTGTGCAAAACAGGCCATATTCTATTTGGATTTTAATTCAGCCCAAATTGGGAACAGTGATTTGATTGGTTGATTCGGATCACTGTCTCAGTTTGATTTGGCTGAATCCAAATCTGAAGGTTCGATGCTGATTTGGACAATCAGCAATTTGGCCACAGACTCAGCTTTAAATGTTTTTCCTACATACCTTGAGGTACCAGGCATGGCTTGTGAATGCTGCAATGGTGGGGCAAATGCAGTGTCCAACAGAAGCCCAGCCTGCCTCACCCCCTCCACTGTGTGCTCAGCTATTGGGCACAGAGGTACCTCAGGTGCCCCCCTAGACCCAGGAGGCACCAGTTGCTGAGCCAGTGGGGCACACAGGGTTGGCGGAGAGCAGCATGCTCCCTGGCAGGCCCGGAAGTGGACTGGAAGTCATTCTGGTCCACTTCTGGGTCTGCTGCCGAGCACAATGGGAAGCCCCCTGTGCTCCTGTGGGATGCTCCATCCGCCCCACCATCGCAGCATTCACAAGCTGCCTGGTACCTTGAGCTATGTAGAAAAAACATTTAAAGCTGTGTCTATTTCTGAATCATCAAATCTTTATGAATCTCTCTGAATTGATTTGAAGGGTTCTGTTTCAATTAGGAGAGATTAAAGGGTCTCCTGATTTGATTCAGATTCAGAGATTTGGCCACCAAATCAGGCCGAATCCCTGCCAAATCTCATCAGTGACCAAAGCTTTGCACAGCCCTGCTTATTGGTTCTATCAAACTGGTATAGTTCAACAATTCCTACCACAGTTATAAGGTTTTATAAATATATGATCTCATAGAACTCTATCAACATCACAAATCAGTTTAAATGCCATTTCTTTTGAAGGACTAGCTTTGGGAAATAACAGATGCTCCATTCAGAAAGTAGATTCAAATTCCAAGGTATATATATCTTATGGAATTGTCCTGTACTGGCCCAGGTTTTAAAATCATACAGTAAAATTCTGTTTGAAGTACATTAATAATCTTGAATATTTACATAAGGTAAGAAATACTATTAGAAACATTAGGGAATATAGTAGAGAGAGATTTTATTTAGTTTTGTGAAGATGTGCATACACAGTTTAGCAATATAGCAAAAAGTCGGTATGTTCAATACATAGGGCTTCCGTATTAAATAGTAGAAAAATTAGCTTCTCTTTCTCAAAATGCTTTGCTAATGAATTTATTAATAGCTTAAATTAACCCGATCTTAAGGAAATCCTTATTCACTCTCTGTTGCTGGAGCTACTACGTATAGTGTATAATACATACACTATGCTTTGCACTATTTGGTAGAAAACAAATTGTGCAATAATAAACATATTATCTGATTCTTACAATGCCATTGTTTACATTTAATGCATCTCTAATAGACACTTTTAAAAAGAAAAAGGCATCCTAAAAGACCTTTGGAAACACTATAATTAAACACCATATAAAAAGACAGCTAAAAACTTACCTGAGGTGCACTGGTTGCAACCAAAAAGGCATTGGTCCTTCCTGGATGATCATAGTCATGCATGGCTGCTGCTACATAAAGGGCCATCAATTCTAGGGCTGGGATATTGCCAGAAAGGCAACCATAGCTGTCATCTGTAGGAGTATACATCTTTGAAACCACGTATCCCATGTGACCATGAGTGATTCCACTATCAGAATCTAAGCAAACACAAAAAGCGTCTTAAAGAAGTTTGACACCTTACTAAAATAACTCTCAGGAGCACATTTGCGGGTAGGGTGAATTTACAATATGCTTTTTGAGCACAATTAATCACTCAGCAGTAAATTTTGTGATTTCTAATAATTTGTGTATTAAGGATTATTCTAAGTTATTGTTAGTAACCCCTGATTACACATCATAGCTCTCTCTCTCTCTAAAGACTGGACCATAAAGAAGACCCCAAATCCTTTATGGTCTTCGAATAAATAGCTCAACCAGCCTAGTTGCTTGATTTTAGGCTACTTGTGCAAGTACATTTAATGGCACAGTGGAACCCGATCATAAGAATATAAGAACTGTTATTTATTGTGTTAGACCATAGGTCCAGTTTGCCCAGTGCTGTGTGCCATACAGTGGATGCTGAAAGGGAGACTGAACTGGGCATGAGCAGGGATTTTTTCCCTGCCACTGTTCCTCTCTCACTTACAGCCTCCAACATTTCAGGTATAGGAAGATCTTGGAGAGAATCATCAAGGACCACATCTGTGCGGGGCCTGCAGGGGAGATCACACTCGGGGCAATCAGCATGGGTTCATCAAAGGCAGGTCCTGCCTGACCAACCTGATTGCCTTTTATGACCAAGTAACTGAATCCTTGGATGACAGTGTTGCCGTGGACGTAGTCTTTCTAGACTTTAAGAAGGCCTTTGACACCATCTCTCACCCCATCCTCATCAATAAATTAAGTGACTGTGGCATTGATGCCTGCATAGTTGGATGGGTAAAAAATTGGCTGATGGGGCGCACCCAGAGAGTAGTGGTGGATGGGTTGTACTCAACCTGGTGAGATGTGAGCAGTGGGGTCCCCCAGGGCTCAGTCCTCAGGCCCGCACTGTTTAACATATTCATCAGCGACTTGGATGAGGGGGTGGAAAGCACACTGTTCAAGTTTGCTGATGACACTAAGATGTGGAGCAAGGTGGACACACTTGACGGGAGAGAGAGGCTGCAAATAGATTTAGACAGGCTACAAAAGTGGGCAGACGAGAATAGAATGGGGTTCAACACAGACAAATGCAGGGTGCTGCACCTTGGGAGAAGGAATCCACAGCATACATACAGGCTGGGGAGTTCCCCTCTTGAAAGCACAGAGGCAGAACGGGATCTTGCAGTCATTATTGACTCCAAGATGAACATGAGCCACCAATGCCAGACCGCAGCCAGCAAAGCCAGCCATACCTTGTCATGCATCAAAAGGTGCATCTCAAGCCTGTCCAGAGAGGTGATGCTCCCCCTCTATGCAACACTGGTCAGGCCACAGTTGGAGTACTGGGTCCAGTACTGGGCACCGCACTTCAAAAGGGATGTGGCCAGCCTGGAGAGGGTTCAGAGGAGGGTCACCCGCTTGGTGAGAGGGCAGCAGGACAGGCCCTATGAGGAGACTGAGGGGCCTGAACCTGTTCAGCCTCAGCAAGAGGAGGCTGAGGGGGGACCTGGTGGCTGCCTACAAACTCATTGGGGAAGATCAAGAGCAAAAAGGTAGAGCCTTTTTCTCCCCAGCACCACCTGGGGTGACAAGGAACAATGGTAATAAGCTGATGGAGAATAGGTTTAGGTTAGAGATCAGAAGGCAATATTTTACAGTTAGGGTGGCCAAAATCTGGAACCAACTTCCCAGGGAAGTGGTCCTCGCCCCTACCTTGGGCAAATTCAAGAGGAGGTTGGATGATCACCTGTTTGGGGTCTTGTGAACCCAGCATTCATTCCTGCCTGTGGCAGGGGTTCAGGCTAGATGATCTGTTCAGGTCCCTCCTGACCCTAGCTACTATGAAACTACTATAAGTTCTAATTTAAAGACTCTATCCCTAACTCCCATGCTCAGTAACTACATATGCCCCTTTCCTCCAAGAATCTGTTGAATCCTTTCTTGAATCTGTGTAAATTGTCAGCCTCCACAACATCTGGTGGCAATGATCCACATTTCAATTATATGCTATGTGAAGAAGATCTTCCTTTTGTTAGTTTTAAACTTACTACCTACTACCTTCTTTTTATGACTCCTAGTTCCTGTATTGTGAGAGACAATAAATAATAAAAGTCTATTTACTTTCTCTTCACCATTTAGTAAACCCTTAACAGACCCCCCCTTGAGTGTCTCTTTTCTAAACTGAATATGCCACATGGCTGTCAGTCTTTAGTCTTGCCTAACATGGAAGCCCCTCCCTACTAGGGCTGTGCAAAACAGCATCAGTTCATTTTGACTTCTGTTTTTCCATTTCAATGGGACAGCATTTCATTTCAAGCTTAGTTTCAAAGCACTGTTCCATTTCGTTTTGTCAAAACTGTTTCACTGTTTTGACGTTTCCCCCATGGGCTATAATGGGGAATCACAAAACTGCCTGTAACTTTGTCATTTCTTGCCTGATTTGAATGAAAACAGCAGGGATGGTAGCCCCTGCTGAGGTTACAAAGCCTGTCATGTTTCAAGGAGATAGGTGCAGGGGTTTCTGGGAAACTGCACCTCAAGCTGCTGACAAGCAAAACTTCTGACATGTGACTGTGTGTATTAAGGCACAGCTGTTTTTCCCTCCCTCCCCCAGAGCACTGGGGTTGGAAGGGACTTCAGGGAAGGATCACAGCTACACACGTCAATATCAGAGCAGTCCTTCCCCCTTCTTCCCCCTCCCTCTCAACTTTTTGTTTCCCTGAAAGCAAGCCCAGCTTCAAAACTTGAAACGTTTCAAAACGATCAAAATGTTTTGAGTGCCCTCATTTTATTTCAAGGATGTTTCAAAGCCTTTTGTTTTGATTTTGCTGTTTCAAGCTTGAAATGAGTCAAAACAGTGTCAAAACGAAACACTTGGGGACATTTTGCACAGCCTTACTCCCTACCTTTAATCATCCTTGATGCCCTTCTCTGGACCCTCTCTAGTATTTCTATATCCTTTTTCAGGTGTAAAAACCAGAACTAGCACAGTATTCAAGGTGTGGACACACTGTGGATTTATAAAGGGGCATGATGATACTTACAGTTTTGTTTAAATTTCCCTTCTTAACAATCCCTAACATTTCGTTTGCCTTTCTGATGGCTGCTGAGCAGTGAGCTGATATTGTCAGTGAACTGTCCACAGTGACTCCCAGATTGCTTTCCTGTGTGATAGCAGCTAATGTAAAGCCCATCATAGTGTAAGGTTGGGATCCCTGATTCTAATCAAACCTCCTGCTATGCATACCACATGTGGTTCAAGCATCTGGTGTAGATGCCAGGTTGGGACCAACAATCAGCTGATGGTCCTAGTAGTCTCAGACTAGAACTGACAATCAACTGATCATGGGTTCCAGCCCTGAAACTCCACTGAGGCCAGTCCCAGACCCCATGCACCAGGATGTCAAAACAAAACCTGCACACAATTTTTTAAGTTCCCAGCATGCCATGGCCTTGGGATGTAGGAGAAGCTTTGCTGCACATGCAGTCCTCATGCACAGGGACCCCAGGATTGCGGAACTTCTCCCCAGTCATAGGATCTCCTGCCTGGAAAGTGACAATTGCCTTGGTCTGAAATTCCCTCTGAGCTGCAGGGTAAGGCAAGCAGTTCAGGCTCCCTGCTATCCAGCACCAGCTGATGGGCTTCACCCATTCAGCACCCCAAAAACAGCAGTTGCAGATCCATCCAGGGCTGCACCACATCGCTGTCAGGCTGTCAACACAAGGAGAGCTGTCAACCAGGCCCTGCCATTCAGCTGACATCCAGCTGCCTGGAGGGGACTACCCTGCCACACATTCAATTTAAGACGTGATGGAAACCAGGCACAAAAATATTATGTATGTTTTAGGAATAAATTTTGTGTGTCATTTCCTTTTTTGTCACAGCATTACTTGCCTGAATGTGTGGCTGGGTTACAGCATTATTAACAGGTTAATTGTGTATTAAGTGTAATGGTTGCAGGAGATCTATGATCTAACATTCCTGAGCTCAATTTTGCTGCTGAAAATGTGGACAAGAGAGTTCTCTGAAAAGGATCTAGAACAGACCACTTCCAGAGGTAAATAAAAGATAAGATGGAGAGATCAGATGGTTTGATCAGATATGCAAGTCCTATGTTACCATAAATGAGTACCTTTCAAAAAAGTGTATATAAATAATAAAATAAATGGCAACTAAAAAAGTTTACATTGATGAAACACCTTTCCACCCAAAATATTTTGAGCTACTTCACAAACAGTATACATGCACTACTGTTGACATGCAAAGTACACTTGGAGGAGTAAAGAAGAGTGTTCTCCAGGATACAGTAGACCAGATTAATGTGCATTTCTCCATGTGCACATTCTTGGTATCTGTACCATTTTAAAGAAGTGCAATTCTGCAGAACCAAGATTTCTGCACTGATTTTCCCTACTGCATCACTAAAGCGTTGTCTTGGAAAACAGGGATTAAAAAAAAGATTGGTTCCAGCAGTCAAAGCCATACATTTTAAGTATAAGTATTAAGCTTGAAAAGTGCACTGATGAAAACCCACAGCAACTTTTGCAGATGAATTCTTTCTAACACTGTAAAAGCAAATGATCTACACTAAAAAAAAAAAGAAAAAAGAAACAACAGATTTTGTGTTAGATAGACATGTGTTTCTCAACCTGGGTGCTGCAGAACCTTAAGGTGCCTTGAGATTATTTTAAGGGGCAACTGGGTACTGTGCAAGATAGGTCTGCAAACATGATTCACATGATAAACCCAGAGGTTTCAAATAGAAATCCATAGCATCAAAAACATTCTGCCCTGTTGTGGTATTTCTGAGTTCTCTGCAACAGAAGAATTGCTCTATTACTTTTTCTCTAGTTAAAGAAGTCAAAACTCAGAGCCAGCATTTTCTGAAGTGTGCTTTGAGTCCAAAAAAGCTTTCAAACCACTGAGATGGACAGATAGGTCACAATATTCATCTGGGAGTTCACTACATGCAGTTTCCTCAATGAGCAATTTTTATCTATCCAATTAAACATTCACCATATTCCATTACACAACTTTTAAAAGCACAATGCATTTAAATACCCGAATCACTCGCTGACCCCTGGTCATTAATCACAGTTGGGAGTCCTGGGATGGGTTGGGTGGAAAGGTACCAAACAGCGTGTAGAACATCAGTTGCATGGATTCTGTTGTGATCTGTGACAAATCAAATGATACTCATTAAAACATGCCGATTATTTCTAACAGAGGGTGGAGAGCACCATCTAGTGGATCCTGTGAGGAAAATGATGTCCCCATTACAACATGCGAAAATGCAGTTTTATTTTATAATTTTGTGAGCAGTCACCTTTAATTTTATTAGTAGACTGAAGCAGTAGGGGATTTTTTACCATCAGCCAAGGAAGAGGAAAAGTTACAGCTCCCTCCAAACAGAAGATAGAAAAGCCTTTAGCTCAAGAAGAACTCTGTTTCCAACTGTACATCTTCACTCCATTCCATACAGTCTGCTACTCATGTACCACATGGTACACACAAGGTGAAATCAGTCAAAACACTCCCATTTACTGCATACGGAAGGCTGGGATTCTATCAGGTCTCTAATAACAAGGGCTGTAACAGGTAGCATAGATACTTCACCTGAGTTAGCATAGCTCACGTGAGAATGGGCATACCACAACACTCAGGATATGTGCACATTGCACAGATAAAAATGTCTCCTATCTGAATTTTAGCCCAAGTTCTTTACCGTGAGAGCTAATTTACCTGCTTGACAGTGTTAGAGCCCAAGTTCTACTATAACCTTGGCTGTGACCTACACTTTGCAGTGATGACGCACAAAATTAATTGGGCATTGACTGAACTCCAGTAATGAGTCCTTCTGCAATAGACAACTAGCTGCAAAAACATCCTCAGCGTATCTTCACATTGGGAACCACGGGATATGCCAATACTCTCAACTCAGCAGTGGTCACTGCTCTAGAGGTAATTAAAGGATGAGATTCAAGGACACCTGAAGGCCAATCTGAAGAAATGTAATATTAACCATCAATTTCTGGGACGCTCAAGTACCGAATTGCTCCCAAAGGTGTCATGTTGTAGAACAAGGCATTGATCATTTTGGGCAAACTCACCTCACTATGGAAGTAGATAGATGAGAGAGACAATGAGGAGAACTGTGACCTGACATCACCAGGATCTACTCCTTGGAACTATATGCTATACTTGTAGTCAAACATGCAGATCCCAGATCAGCTTCCTTAGTCATCCACAGACACACCAATCTCTTCCCTATTTACTGGAAGACCAAAATCCACATATCAAGGGACTGCCATCACTGCCACTGACCATGGAATATGCCCCCAGACACATATAGGCAAGTCCAGGAATTCTGAAAACACTAACGCAAGTCTGGCTTCACAGTGGACATCTAACATCTGGGCTTGGTTTTCTAGGGCGCTGAGACTCTGAAGCCAATCAGCTGAGCTAATTGCAGGGTAGATATACCCCCTATCTGAACAGAGTAATTTGTCAGGCAGCTGCTGAGCTGTAGTCTAAAGCTGTATCACCAATATCCCAGGTATGAGCTGTCCTCAAACTTGAAACCATCTCACTTGAGCAGGAAAATAGGATTGATTTAATTCAATTTAGAGATTTTAGCATGGAAATGGGTGATGATGATGAGAGCTACTCCTACTAACCTAACGAAGAAAAGACCTCAAACAGATTTCACTCTGATAACAACTTCCAGCTAAGCAGCAAGAGATAAGAAGCCTTCAGAATTTGAAGGAATTGAAATGTCCTGTTATCTTCAGGAAATAATAACTCCCAACCCCCCCAGGACAGTCATGATCATGAAAACTATTCCCCCAAAAATAGACATTATCAAGGACATTAGGTCTGAAAAGTGAGTTATTTCAATGTGAATTAGGTGCCTATACACCCTTGAGGATACAGCCTTCAGGTGTCCTTGATTATTCTAGGTTTTGGCTTGCAGCTAAACAGGCCTGAGACACCTGTTTAAGCATGAAGCTTGCATGGCAATTAACTCAAATAAGCCATGACTGTGCCAGGGAAAAGTGCTAATTTAGATATTTCATAGGTACTTAAAGTGGGACAATGAGCTTGTACATTTTTAGGATCCCAAGATTAAAATCTTTGTTCAGGGATACACTGATTATCTATTTGTAGCCTAAGAATAAAATCCTATTCCATCTAAGAGGTGTCTACGTGTGATCTTGTTCTGTGCTGCTTAGTTAGTAATCAGTCATAATCAGTTATAGTGGGAACAAAACCAGAAGGTGGGGGCAGAAGCTTCTCTCTAAGGCTGGAAACAGATATCTCATTTGAGGCAGCCCTGATTGATCCAAGTCAAAATCGGGGACAAAAGAGGAGTGGCACAGTCCTTTATACATAGCCCTTTCAGACAGTAGCTGGGGAGAGCACTGAGCCTGACAGGCTCATTCCTGGAATGATTGGCAATTAACCTGAATGAGCTGCTATTAACTAACAGACATGTATAGCTCTAAGGAAAAAGTGTTAGTATGTTTTATATTGCTTATTTCACAGGTACTTAAAGAGGGACCATGGACTTGTATATGGAACAAAAGGCTTTCTCCTGAGAGAAATGTAATGTCTGTTTATACCCTAAGAGAGGCAACTTGGGGAAACAATCAAATCAGGCTTGTTGGAAGCAAAGTTACATACTATGTTCTGTTGTTTAGGTTGCTAATGAATGATAACTATGGCTAAGAATCAGAATAATTTTAACCCATATGTATATATTTCATTCACGTACATGGTGGGGAACTCTACAGCCTGTGCATTGGAAAGCCTGATGCAAGCAACAGTTTATCAGATACATGCTGAAGGACAACACTTAACTTATTTACAGGACTAATTTTCAGTTAGTGACCTGGGCCCATATCCTCAATAGTATATAGACACCTAATTTGCATTGAATAACTCACTTTTCAGTAAGACACAGGCTGTGTCTACATAGCCTCCCTGTTGAGACTGGGACTACTGTTGAGAAATAAGCCCTGCTCACCCACTCCCACTGTGTGTACTCAGGACTGGGAATTAGGCTGAACAGAGAACTTAGAGGTTTGAACCTAAGATCATGCTCTAACATCATCCCTGGGGCGCTCCTGAGGCACAGAGCTGAACAGTGTTCCCAGTATTGGCAGGGTGGTAGTAGTGGCATGGACATAGACTCCCAAATGCCTAGAGTCACTCTGAAAAAGTCTTGGGCTCTACAGTCAGTCAGCCATAGCAACTCTGAATGGATCAATGCTTAAGTATTTTAAAAAGTATGTGAGTGATAGTCAAAAGGTGGTAAAGAAAATACAGCCCATGAAAGAATAAATAACTACTGGGAGAAGGAAGGATGTATTACAATTTTTTACTGAAAAAAGGAAAATCAGTGATCCTGAAAAATGTACTCCTATTTATCCAGGAGCTTTACTTACAAGGTATGTCTCGGTATCCACACTCCAGTGCGTGAAAGTAGTTCATGAACTCCCTCACTGGAATTTTAAAGGTTTCAAACAGACCCATATCTTCAAAAAGCTTGTATGATACCTGAAAAAAGTAAAACCAACATTCTGCTAAGTACACTAAAATGATACCAGAATGAAAAATTAGAGATGACTATGACTAAGTCATGTGATGCACTCCCCCCTTCCATGTACGAGATTGTTCCTACAACTTTTCTCAAGTGTGTAATGGTAACCAGCGCTTCCACCAAGCTACACTTTTAGCCATAAGCAGCCCCAAATGTTCTAGATACCTCATTAAAAAACAAAAGCATGAATAATACACTCTTTGTGACTTTTCAGAGGTACAAATAAAAATGTGTGAAAAGCTCCTTCACAGTTTCTGTCCCAAAAAGCATACCAAAACAAAAACCATTTCTATCATTTTAGCAGACAAGCAGTAAGCAGGGGATGGGAAGAGGAAGGCAAAGCTGGCATATATGGACAAACATTTGTGGGTCTAATGATCAAAAACTTGCAGGTGAAATGACAGAAGTAAATATTAGGAAAGCACAACTGAAGTAAATGAATTCTCAAGTAGCATTTGTCTTGGAAAACAGGATTGCGAAAAATTTTCATGGAAAATCATGGAAGAAGGCATAAAGACGTGGTAAATGAGGATTCAACATGGCTACTGGAGTGGGAAGTAATGGTGGGATGAAAACATTAATAGAGAATTAGGAAAAGAGACCATATCAGGTCTCAGATGGTGCAGATAGGGATACTGGATGTGGGGCCATGAAGAAAACAAGCATAGTCTTGATATAAAGTGCAATAGGACTTAGTAATATGTTAAATTTATTCAGCTTTCCTCATTAATCAGTTTTGAACCACTCTAATAATTTCCCTTGCTGTTCTCTGAACGTCTTCCAATTTATTGCTGACTTTCTGGTAATGAGATACTTAGAACTACTATATTTAGTCTGACCATAGCTGTATTGATGAAGGTCTTCTGTCTCTGCTCCATGATATGCTGTATCTGTCTATCATTCCCCAAATCATTTTGGCTTTTGTTTCCATGTAGCACATAAAAAGAGCCTAAATCAGACTGCAGTCTACCTTTTCCTTCAACATGTCAGTTGTATGGAACAGGATTTGCGGTCAATACCACTAAGGGTGTAGTACCCAAACCTGAATTAACTGAAATGTTGAATAACGTTACTGCGCATCACAATAGAAAGTGGGATCTGAGATGACAAATGTAGGGTCCAAATCTACACAGTAACTTCATATCTTTGCATCTGACTTCTGGTCTTAAGTCCTCTTCCTCAGCAAGTGACAGTTTTCCTGTACCCCAATTCCTAGTTCCTGTTCTCGCTTCCCTCATCCTTCTACCAGACTCCTTGGTCCCTGTCTACTCCCTCTGCCACATCTCCATTCTCAGAATTGGCTTATGTCTCTTCCTCCATACCAGCAGCAGGGTCAGGTGAGACCGAGCTCCCTGCTTTCATGAGCACACTTCACAGCAGCCTACAGCTGTATGGAGTCATCAGAGCTTCTAGTAGCAAAGCTCTAACAAGCTTCTACTGCAACGGTGAACTCTTGATTTGCCAAAATTTATAAATTGGCCAGTTCTATCTGGCTTTTCACATGGATGGGCAAAGGGTGATCTCTGATGCAGAAGGATAGGAAGTGAAGAGGTCTCAAAGGAAAAAAAATAGCAGTATATTTTAGTGGGTGCAAAACAATGCATTTATTTTCTTGACTAGCTGCTGTCTTAGAGACATCCAAACCTTTTCAGCTAAAATAAACATGCACAACGTTAAAAAAAATACAAAAAAGTGGCCTGAGGCAGACACTTGCTTGTAAAACTTTAGCCCAAACAGCTACAGTTTGGACAAGTTGTCAAAGCCATGGAGATCAGGGCCACAAAGTAAAAAGTTTCAGGCAACTTTGACCCATGGCATAACCCCACCTATTAAAATGAGATCAGTGAATTTTGTTCTAAGGAAGCAGGGATTTTGTCCTTGTGGAGTTGTAAAAGAAAGATAGAAAATATTTTAATGTCATTCTCATTTATGAATAACCCATGTGTAGCAGGACAAGTCATGGGGTGGCACCCCCTAATCCTGCCCACATTTCTGGTCCTCTATGCAACACCGTCCTCCCCCTAAGACCGGTTCTCTCACCTGCCATACCTTGGTGCTCTTTGATATTAATTGGGAGGCTGCCCCTGAGTCCTGGAGTGCCCTAACTGGTGCTCAGTCTAACCTGACGTCTCTCGTGATCACTGGGCCCTCTGCCCACTAGCCAAAACAACACAGTTTTCCACAAGTCTCTCTCACACACCAGCAGACCTATTGGTGCCTGGCTGGCACTGTGAGTCAGTAGCCACCATCTATAGCTCTGATGGCCCTTATTTAAGCTGGCCCCATAGTCATGTTTATACCTCACACATGTGACTCAGTCGCTGCTTGCCTTCCTGGATAGGCTTCAGCCTTCTTAGCCTACTGGTTACTCTGGCTGTCGACTGCCTTAGGTCCACTGGCTCTGGCCTGGCCTTTCCAGTCTCAGCCTCTTGTTGGCCCCAGGCCACCTTGGTTGCCCCTCAGGGCTCATGCTCTGGCCGTCTCTTGGCCTCAGACTGCCTCTGTTGCCCCTTCTGGGTTCAGGCTTTGGTTCTCTCAACTTCAGCCTGCCTATGCCTTGTACACCAGCCCCTGGTAGGACTCAACATAGTGAGCCCCTCCAATATCCCTATGGCCTCCTTTCTTCCCTGATTAGCCACACGTGGTCCTCCAGTCTAAGCTAGAGCAAAAATCTGTAAATCCCTCCTCTGGGTTATCATACTACTGCCAGTCCTTCCCACATCTAACTCTCCCCGCCTTGGGATTACCTGCCATGGCTTGCAGCACCCACTGCCTACCAGCCTGAGTTCCCTGTTATACCATGATAATACCATGACAGGAATTAAACCATCCATCATTTATCTTGGATCAAAGCAGTATAACCCGTTCCCTATCATATTTCTAGCTTTGGAAAATTGATGAGCGACAGAAAGTCTCTGTCTGCAAAAAGGTTGAAAGGAGGCTTATCTCCACAGTCTCATTTTAGCACCCTAAAGATAATTCATCTCTTTTTTCACAGATATGGCAGCTTCCCCCCCACCCCCCAGTTTCTCTCATTACTGGTTAATTGAATAAGTGTTCCCATATTGTATCAGTAGATCAGTTGTTTGGTGGAGGGCAACAAAAATGGTTTGGGGCCTGGGGCATAGGACTTACGAGGAGAGGCTGAGGGTACTGGGTTTATTTAGTCTGGAGAACAGAAGACTGAGAGGAGGATTTAATAGCAGCCTTTAACTACCTGATGGGGGTTTCCAAAGGGATAGAGCTACACTGCTCTCAGTGGTAGCAGATGACAGAACAAGAAGCAATGGTCTCAAGTTGCAGCAAGGGAGGTTTAGGTTGGATTTTATGAAAATCTCTCTCACTAGGAAGGTGGTGAAGCACTGGAACAGGTTACCCAGAGAGGTGGTAGAATCTCCAACCTTGGAGGCTTTTAAGACTTGGCTTGACAAAGCCCTGGCTGGGATAATCTAGTTGGAGGTGGTCCTGCTTTAAGCAGGGGGTTGGATTAGATGACCTCCTATGGTCCCTTCCAACCCTAATCTTCTATTATTCTATGATCATGGTAGTATTAATATGGCTTTTTAAGGAAAAAAAGAAATGAACTTTTATCCCTTTCCAGATATTTTTTTCTGGCAAGGTGTTTGTACAGAAAGAAAGATGAAACAAACACTGAAAAAGATTTGTTTTTTGGAGTATTTAAATTCCTGGTAACAGTGATCTATGATGCCATGGCAATCAACCATGGTCCTGGATCGAGGACAAACATTAGCAAGGACAAAGTCTTATTTTTGAGGAATGTTAATAGATGAAGATGGTGATAAAGGAATATGAGTGGTATTGCAGAAACAAGAATTTAACTTTTTTGTTAGAACCTATTGGGATTGCTTGTGTACACAAGCGTATTTTAATAAACCAGAGTTTGAATGAGAGCTAACCAATAGTTCCTGTTACTTTGCTGTATCTTGCCCTCTCAACTCTATTGGGCAAAGATCAAGAGCTCATGTATTTTCTGTTCCTTCCACTCAGGAGTAGAGAATTATATTTTTAGAAGGTATCCATATATTCATAAGCATAAAGAGCAGTCATTACATTAGATTTGAATATTGGATACCAGAGAGCCTCATTCAGGTGCTATATAAGGGGTAGGAACGGGTACTAGAAAAGAACCTATTGAACCAATGAGCTGAAGCACGACTTGCTGAAGTCTTGAAGTTCCTTTCATGGATAATGGTCTTCCTGTGACCATGATACCTGACATGTCTGATACAGTTCTCATAAATAAATAAGGAAGAATGTGATTACTGACAGGAAATATTAAGATAAGCACAGATACATTTTCCTTTTCTCAAGAGACGTCTACAGCTCTTTCTGAAGATAGGGGAACCCAAACAAATTACCATGATGTAAATAGGGGTTTATAGCACAGTGGCTTCTCCATGGTAGAGATACTGCTTCATTGGTCAAGGATGATCTGGTAGTCTGTAACTGCTGGGTGCAGGGGGCTGGAATAGGTGACCTCATTAGGTCCCTTTCTCCCTACTTTCCTATGATCCTATAATATTAGGAAGGGCAGACAGAGGTCAATACTGTAAGTAAAAAAATATCCTTCTTAGCACACAGAGTTTGAACAAGACAAAATATAACAGACTCTTCAAGAAACAATAAGAAAAAAAATCTCTCCCTTTTCTTTAATATATGTATTGTGAAAATCTGAGACAAGCTACAGTGCTCTCGCCCATCCCTCTAACTTATGCTTCAATGGCTAACAGGAGATTTGTAATGGAAAATCCCTGTGTGTCTTTGGATAACTACAGGCAATCAAGAGTGAGCAGTGACACAAAGAGCTCGGGGCAAGTGTTAGTTTATGAATTTCAGGTTCCTTTCAGAATTCAACATGACTGCTTTGAACAGAAAACATGCTTCTTAAAATCTATGCCACTGGGGACAACGAAGGAATCAAAGGGAACCAGAGGGT